CAGGAATATGGCCGGTCTAGGGCTGACCTTTCGACTGGACCAGGCACTATCTGCTGGCCTACTGTTTGTTCGTAGAGGGCCAAGTTAGACCACCAGTCTGGTGGATCTGGATCCCTACGGAAGCAAAATGCGCACATGCAGGCCAGGCCTTGCTTTTGACACAAAAATGACCTTGATCACCAACTGGCCTACTGCCTTCACCCGAATAGAACGCCCGGTCTTTCCGGCTGCATTTGGACTGAAAGTTGCGCCAAATACAGCTATACAATGACCGGGTGTTCTATTCGGTTGAAGATGGTAGGTAGCTCAGTTGGTATACCACTGAAGTGTTGAAATACGGACCAGGTGCCGAGTTCGAACTCCAGTGGAAGCAGATTTGAGTAAAATGACCTAGAAGGGAAAAATGACCCACGGAATTCAGAATTGGAGTTCGAACTCCACTGAAAGCAGATGAGTAAAATACGGACCAGGTGCAGAGTTCGAACTCCACTGGAAGCAGATGAGTGAAATGACCTTGAAGGGTATAATACCACTGAAATGTGGAAATATGGACCTGAGTTCGAACTCCAATTCTGAATTCCGTGGGGTTGGTCAGTTGAGATGATGATATCTCAAGGCCTTAGCTCTTGTAAGCCAAAAAAAAAACAAAACAAAAAAAAAAAAACAACAGGCCTTGTTGGGAAAAGTGTTGTATGCAGGTTGAACAATGGGGAAAATGCCAGACATGCACAGGGGCCTCGGCCGAACTTGCAGGTTTTAAGCACCACCTTGGGGATGAGCCCTTTTCTGCTTGACATTCTCTCTTTTTTTTTTTTTTTTAATAAATTAATCAATATTCTTTCTGTCAATTTTTATGTATCGCGCTGTGTGACTCGCATTGGCCCCCCGTATAATCGCCTTTGGAGACGAGGTCGAGGTCGAGACTGTGTCGTTTCCGTTTTGTGACGTATACCGTACCGGTGTGCCGTGTGGCTGGGAGGCGGCGTATAATCGCAAATTGGTGCGCATATGATTTTTGCGATTATTACGAGCTAGTGTGAGTATGCCCTGCGCTAGCTAGGCCAGTTGGTACATGTTCTTTTTTTTTTTTGGCCGCACTGCAAAAATGCACTCTCTGGATGGAATAAGAGGCTCAGAAGTACTGGTGATTTAACAGACCTCCTGGATATCAGTCAATCTGAAGACTCCCTCTCAATTTGTCACTTTTGGACGCCCAGAAAAACCGGTAGGAACCACCTTCTTTCCTCAAATACGAAGTACAGTCAATATATTTGTATTTAGACTGAAAGATACCCCAAATACAGATATAATGACCGTATGTTGGATTCTCATACCCCAAATACAGATATAATGACCGTACGTTGGATTCTCAAGTCTCGGGCTCGCTATTGACACATCGAGCATGAATTCAGCCGTGGCTTACTGTCCATGTATACGCCCGCCCGCCGCCTGCTTGACATGTGGACAGTAACGTATGGCCCGGAATGGGACCGGCTTCACGTATCAAGTCCGTTATCCTAACCTTACCTTCTGCTTCATCGAAGCCGTTCTTCGACTTTCGCGTGCTGCTTTCGTTGTATTCGGGGGGAAGAAGGTATTTACTATTTGCTTAGAGTTTTTAGACTGAAAGATACCCCAAATACAGCAGCCAGCTATAATGACCGTACGTTGTATTCGGGGGAAGAAGGTAGAGGATACCTCAGGCCATTCTCAGAACTCATCTTTCTCGATCAGAATGCATGCCCTATATGGAGTTCTGCTTGAGGGCTTGATGTGCTGCCCCACCCTTGGTCCCCAGAGCATGGAATTCTGGAGTTTGCCTTGAGGCATTGATGTGCTGCCCCACCCTTGGTCCCCAGTTCATGGAATTCAGGCGACTGTCTTTAGGCCTCGCAGCACCAATCTCGAAATGGGCAAAATGAGAAGGACCTTCCTGCGAGAACATGCTCAGATGCACCAGCCACATTTTTTGTCTTTTTCACACATTTCGAGAGGTGGTGTGGCGAGGCCCTTTGACGGCTCTTGTGTTCTCCGTTTCCATCTCGAGTCCATGCTATTGTTTTCTCTTCTTCTTTTCACGTCCATGGGCTCCTAGATTGGCAATCTCCTCCTTGCTGTTCCCCATACAGGTTCTCCTCCTCCTCCTCCTGCTGATGTTCTTCTCTTCTCTGCCTCAGCCTTGCTGTGTCTGGAACCAATTATTAAACTTCAGAGACCTTTTATTTCGCTTTGCACTCCTCTCTCTGAGACAGGTCTCCTCGTAAAAGTTTTCCGCATATTCTCTCTCTTTTTTGGGGGTCGAACTCTTACGTCCGTTTGTGTTTGCTGTCTTCCTCCGTTCTTGTGTTAGTCCCATTTCCATGATCGCTTGTGCTGCGAAGTTGTGCCTGATTCCATGATTCCTCGACTGCCATTTTCTTTTTATTATCGTGTCCTTGCAACTTGCTCGCAGTTCTCCTCATTAGGACCATTAAGCCCCAGTCCTCGCTTTCTACTTCTTCCCGTTCTCTCTCTCTCTCTCTCTCTCTCTCTCTCTCTCTCTCTTGGTTGATTTGGGGGATGAATGGATTGCACGCTGTTCCCCTGTTGTGAGACCTGTTCCCAGGGTGCTGAGTCCCGCTCCCACAGTCCCACCTGAGGCCGGTACTGGCTTGGTCCCGGTAGGTCCCAGGTCTAGGTCCTAG